CAGAGAAGATGAACGATACACTCCAAAGAATCCTGCGGAAGTATTGTCATCCACACCAACACGATTGGGATCAGTTGCTCATAGCCGCCGAAATTGCCTACAACAATGCTGTCTGCCCTCCACTGGCATGTCCCCTTTCTACCTCGACCTTGGCTACCATCCCCACTTGCCCCCTAATTTCTTGCTTCCCTCGCAGCTCGGCCCCTCCACCCCCTGCCCCTCTCTCAATGAATGGATAGCAACAATGAACAGACTCCTCAGAGAAGCAACCGAAGCCCTTGAAAGAACACAAGAACAACAAGCCTACAAGACTAACAAACACAGACGTGACGTGTCATTCAAAGTAGGGGACAAAGTCTGGCTTTCTGCCAAACGCTTTGAACCCGAACAAGGCTTGTCCAAAAAACTCTCGAACAAGTGGCTCGGTCCCTTCCCCATCATTGAACAAACCTCCCCTGTCAACTACAAACTCCAACTCCCCCCTGACATGAGTCGTGTCCACCCAGTCTTCCATGTCGAGTATAAAAGAATACCATGAATCCCCGCTCCAGTTCGCCGACCGCCCATATCCTAGACCTCCACCAATCATGCTACCCACAGGCCCTGAATTCGTTGTCGAAACCATCATTGGCCGACGAACCACTCAGGTATCTGACCATCCAGAACCAATCACTGAATACAAAGTCAAATGGACCGAATACCCCGACGAAGAATCTACATGGGAACCTCTCTCTAATCTTAAGAACGCCATGAAACTTGTCCGCGCCTATGATCGTGCTAATCCTACGTCCTCGATACCTATATCACTATGGCATAAACCCCCGCTAAAAACCCTTGCAACCCTGCTCTACACACACCCTTGAACCCAGTCCACCCTTCCCTTGATCCTCATTCCTGATGTCTGATCTGCCCTTGCCCTCGCCTAGCCTTGTCCCATCTGTCCTTTCCACTACCTTGTCTCTCTTGTCCAATGCTTGTGAACTTGCGTGACGTCGGCGATAAAGGATCTAATGGCAAGCGCACGAGGACGATGGCATGCTGCCTTACTGTTCATGGAGATTATGCAGCTGGTTTGGCCACCATGCTGTTTCATTGGCCGGCATCCCGACTCGCCGACTTACTGGAGCAGCAACTTGTGACATGGATCTTTGCATCAGTCTGCGACTTCCTTGCTTCCAGATCAGACCTCATTGCAGTTCATGTACCGGACGCACCCTAGCACTTGGACTTTGACACTTGAACTATTACTACGCTTCTTGGACTTCTACCTATCGTAGTTGCTGAAGACCGCTTCTACCACCTACTCCAAAGACCTGATCAAGACCGCTGCAGACCCCCTTTCAAGACACTTGGACACTTTGTTCCTACATGAGATTCTGCTTCCGACTCCTTCACACACACCAGCCTTCGCATCCTTAACAAACATTTTCATTTTTATTTTTTCTGACTTTGACAACCATGTAGAACATCATTAGCAGATCCCTGTTTCCCTAACAATTGTTCCCCGTACCCACTAGAACATCAATAGACATCCCCTGTTCCCCTGACCATTGTTTCCCTTACCCACTCCAACATCAATAAAAATACCTTGTTTTCCTGAACACCGTTCCCCTTACCCAGTAGAACATCAATAGAAGTTCCCTGTTCCCTGAACTCTGTTCCCCCTTAACCTATAGCGAACCATGCAGTCCCCTTAGTTCATCAGTAGGACTACCCTGTTCCCTGCAACCCCCCCTAGTTCATCAGTAGGACAACTTTGTTCACCAGCACCAAACCCTGTTCCCTCTTACTCCCGCAGCCCATGCCTTCCCTTTCGACTTGTTAAGTGATCGGCCCCGTCCCGTCCTTCACAGATTTCAGCATTGCTTCATGATTTTTGGCAGCCGGGACGTTGCCTTCTAGAGGGAGGGGATAGTGTTACGGACTTCGCCAGGGCTCGATCCCTGGTCTATCTTTTTGCTGTTTCAGCTGCATCCCGTTTTCGGCCTGGCGCCCTTTTTCCAAACTCCTCCTTTGGTACCGTAGGATTTYGGACAACTGGCGCCATGCTGCAATTCGGGCGCCACTTTCAAATACTGCATTTTTCAGTTCTGCCTCGGGGGCCTTTGCAGAAATGCCCCTGGTACCGTACGTGTCACCGGTACTTATATCGGGTCCCCGTACGGTACGGGGGCTAGTCTCGTACCAGTTCCCTGCTGCTGTACTCGTACTCAGTGTGACTTGCTGTTTCGACATTTGGAATCCAAGACTTCGACTTTGTGCCTTGCCACTGTGTCTGCGTCCGATCCTCAGTCCGAGTCAGTCGTATCGAGTGAGTGAGCGTGTGTGTGTGCTCTCACTCTCTCCCTTTCTCTCCTCTCCCTCGGCTCACCCTCAACCTCACGCTCGTTACAGGTTCGCTGGTTGATTGATTGATTGATTGATCCAAAAAAAAACAAGCGCACGAACGCGCGTTTGTATGTGTGTGTGCGTGTGTGCCGGGGAAGGGGGAAGGGTTCCCCTCCCCCATCAACCAATCAATCAGTCAATCAAAAAATCAATCAATCAGTCGAAGCAATCAATCAATTAATCATGATTTATTTTATTTTATTTTATTTCATTGTTTTTTAACCAGCAACCCCCACCCCACCCCCCTGAAAATCATGTTTTTTTAACTTTTGTTTTTTTTCTAGGGGTAGGGTTGGGGTTCCACTCCTTCGGGCTCATAAGAGCATCACCAGGATTCGAATTTCACAAATACCAGAGGCGGACATTCCCATCTGCTCCCTTTTTGCAGACGATCTCACAATCATGGTAGAGGCCACACACAACAATTTGGAGGAAATTAAGAAAATGATGGAAAGGTTCACAAAGGTCTCTGACATGATAGTGAATTGGGGGAGTAAGACACAAGGGTGGTGGATCCACTATCAGGGGGAGCGCCCCCCAGACTCGCCGCAAATTGTGTGGATGCCATTAGAAACCCCATTGAGGATTCTAGGGGTGTCCATGACGGCAGCTGGGTGCCCACCAACTAATGATGAATGGGCAAGTACGCCCGCCCTGCAAAAACTCCTTAATTGGAACAACAAGCACGCCTCCCTTTATGGTCAAGCGTTGGTCATCAATAATGTCGCTTTTGAAGCCCCGTGGTACTCCTTAAGTAAGTGCTCCTTAAGTCGGCCTAAGTCGGTGCTCTGACCATTAAGTAAGGGAGCATTGACGAGGCTTTTGCAAAAACTCCTTCATTGGAATAACAAGGCCACACTCCTTAAGTCGGTGCTCTGACCATTAAGTAAGGGAGCATTGACGAGGCTTAAAAGAAAGGCAGCGGCCTTCCTTTGGAGGGGGGATAGTGAAAATGGCAAGGCTATCAGCAGGGTAGCGTGAGATTAAGTCATTCAACCCAAAGCCCGTTGGGGTTTAGGGATCATAGACCCTCCTACATAAATTCAGGCATTGTGATTACAATGGGTGAAAAAACTGATTTTCTCACCCCACGACCCGTAGTGCGTAATGACTTTAGAGCATCTGGCCCGCATGGCCCCAGCCGCTCTTCGAGAGGTGCATCCTTTGACATGGCTGGAGGACCGTTCTTGGACAATCCCGTGCAAAATTCCACGAAGTGGGGTTGAGCAGGTTGACCAGGGCGAACAGAAAGGAGGGAACCAGTCAAGGGAC